TCCAGTCTGGGCGACAGAGTAAGACTCCAACTCAAAAATAAATAAATAAATAAATAAAAATGTATTCTATTCCTTATGTTGAAGTATTATGCTAAAATGTGTCCTGATGTGCTATGTGTGTCATTTAATTTTTTTGAAATTTAATTTATTGTAGAGATGAGAGCTCACCAAGTTGCCTGAACTGGTCTTGAACCCATGGGCTCAGACAATCTCCTCACCTCGCCCTCCCAAAGAGCTGGGATTACAGGCTTGAGCCACAGCACCTGGCCCATGTCTTTTAAACGTCTTACCATTCATTTATTCTTTAGTTTAATATTTTCATTCTTTCTATATGCATGTATCAGTGTATCTGTCAGAGTCACTAAGCTGGTGTTGCTATACTGATTCCATGCCTAACAGCATCAAAAAAATTTTTTTCAGCTTGAGCACAGTGGCTCATACCTGTAATTCCAGCAATTTGGGAGGCGGAGGCAGGAGGTTCACTGGAGGCCAAAAGTTTGAGACCAGCCTGGGAAACATAGCAACGCTCCATCTCTACGAAAAACTCAAAAATATGAGCCAGGCACAGTGGTGTGCACCTGTACTCCCAGCTACTCTGGATGCTGAGAAGAGAGGATCTCTTGAGTCCAGGAGTTTGAGACTGCAGTGAGTTATGATTTTGCTACTGCACTTCAGCCTGGGCAACAGAGCAAGACCATACCTCCAAATAATAATAATAATAATGATAATTTTCCAATTGTAGTAAAATATGTGTAACATGAATTTTACCAGCTTAACCGTTTTAAAGTGTATCCTGCACATTCTTGAGCCTAGATGTTTTCAAATAAAATGAAGGCTTAGGTTGTGTGGTAAGATTGAGGATTTCTTGATTGTTCATTGAACTCTATCATGGGTTTACTCTTAGGAAAGCTGCTTCCCCTTTCCTGAGCCTCACTCAGAGCTACGTGACCACCTCTCTTTCTCCTACTCTGGTATGCAGAGATGAGAAGGGAAGTGGTATTCTGGACTCTCATGCCTCCTAGTGTTTGTTTTCTTATTTGGGGTGGTGCAGGAGCTTCAGACACAGACCTTGCCCTCATTCAGCCAGGAGTCATACAGGAAATCCTGCCAGACTTGCTATCCTCTCTCTCTGGCTCCTTTGGCCTATGACTAGGAAGTCCACAGGCCAGGAAACCTATACCTGAGGTGAGGGTTGCTAAGTCCTCTATTTCCTTCTCCTCCTCCCTACAACACAGGATACCAAAGAACAACCCCACTCTGCCAAGTCTTTCCTCCCTTCCCCTATTTTTGGCACCCTCTACTTGTCTGAAATCGGAGTCTCACTCTGTTGCCCAGGCTGGTGTGCAGTGGTATGCTCGTAGCCATCGCAGCCTCTACCTGCTGGGCTCAGGTGATCCTTCCACCTCAGCCTTCCAAGTAGCTGGAATCACAGGCATGCACCACCATGCCTGGCTAATTTTTTTGCTTTATTGTAGAAATGAGGTCTTGCCAAGTTGCCCAGGCTCGTTTTGAACCTCTGGACTCAGGCAATCCTCTTGCCTCCGTCTCCCAAGTAACTGGGATGACAGGTGTGAGCCACTGCGTCTGGCTTCTACCTACATCTTAAAAGCAGGTTTTCTCAAAGTTGCTGTCCTTTTCTCTGTGTTTTTCCCAAGCTCTGTCCTGGGCCTGGCACACAGTTGATGCTTAATGAATGTTTATTGAATGAATAAATGAATGAATGAATTGCATTCATTTTTTAACTTTCACCTATGACTTCTGTGTATATGTAACACATTTAGATGATGATAATAGTAAGTTAACACTTATTATGCACTTACTGTGAGCCAGAGAATATTCTAAACATCTTATTATTTTCACTGTGACCCAGTGAGAGAAGTACTCTCATTACCCCATTTTGCAGATGAGAAAATTAGGGCACAGAGCAGTTAAGTGAGGGGCCTAAACTCACCAAGTGGCATTGCTGGGGTCCTAACAAAGGCAGACTAGTTCCAGAGCCAGCAATCACCAAAACTAGGCTGCAGTGCCCGCCCGCCCCACCTTTTTTTGAGTTGGAGTCTTACTCTGTTGCCCAAGCTGGAGCGCCTGTGGCATGCCCACGGCCACTCCAGCATCGACCTGCTGGGCTTTGGCAATCCTTCCGTCTCAACCTTCCAAGTAACTGGAACTACAGGCACGCGCTACCTTGCCTGGCTAATTTTTTGATTTATTGTAGAGATTTTTGATTTATTGTAGAGATTTATTGCCAAATTGCCCAGGTTATCGAACCCGTGGGCTCAAGCAATCCCCTTACCTTGGCCTCCCAAAGTGCTGGGATTACAGGCTTGAGCCACTGTGCCCGGCAGTACCTCTTTTTTTTTTTTAATTGGAAAACTCCTTCCTTCTACAAGAAAATGTCACATCTGTAGCCCCAACATCCTTTCCTCAGCTACCAACCATTCGTTCCACCATCCTCACTAGACATTTCCACAGGATTGTCTTGTTGGCACTATGGCTCTTTCCTCTTTAGACTGCTCTTTTTCAAGACTTACGGCGGTTCCACTCGTCTCCAGCCATCTGGGTTGAAACTTCAACTTCCTCTACCTTTCTCCTTTGCTCCTGACCCCAAATCACTTGCTAGAGCTTGCGAATTCCTCCTTTGAAGGTTTCTCACTCCTGTCTCTCCTTTCCTGCAGGCACTGTTCTGCCTCCAATCTACTCACGTGGATAACGATAGCCTCTTAACTGGACTCCTATTTTCTAGTCTTTCCCTGTTCCAGCTCATTTTACACCTGACAGCTCTAACACTTTTTCTGCGTTGTCCTGACCCTCAAGTCCTCTGTCTTTCCTAGCATGGAGACTACATAAACCAAATACTGGGGACATTTCCTCTGTCTGATGTACCCCTCCCATAGGCTTTTTTCTGCTGGGACAAATCTCTCCTTAAACAGCACCTTTTACAACATGCCCCCTCCAAATCCTCTTTCCTAAACTCTGAAGCTCAGTGTGTTCCCCCTATCCTCCCTTGTAATGTTGTAATATTCTTTTGCAGGTGCTATCATTACTGTGTCTGTCTTACCCTTCTTAGATTGTGAACCTTACCAGGATGGGCTGGGATGGTGGTTTTGTTAATCTCAGCCTGCCCATAAAATGTGCTCAGGGAAGGATATTTTTCTTTTGGAAAGTATTTGTTTTCAGAAATAAAATTAGTAATGCTAAATATTACCATTATCATCAGACCCAAAGTCCATCTTTGAATATCTCTAACTGCCAGTGTCATGAAAATTTTTGGATTAAAAAAAACTTCACCCTTATGTAGGAAACTTCATGAGTGCACCATTTTCACTTTTTAAGTCCCTGTCATTTTACATTTCTTAAACAACTGTCACTAACGACTTTGCTGTAGTGGAAAGAGAAGGCTCCAGAGATTCCTTCCATTCCTTACTTACTGTTAAGTCAGTGAACCTCTCTGAGTCTGAGTTTTATTAACTGAAACCTTGAGATATTTATGCACACCTCTCAGGGCTGTTATGTGAAATTTAGAGATAATGCACAAAAGACATTTGATGCACAGTAGGCACTTCCTATATAGTAGGATTATTACATTTTGTACATGTATAAATTTGTATACTATGGGTGAATATCGTTTCACTATTTCTTCTCTAATGGATAGTATTTTGTTGTTGTTTTGTTTTGAGGTGGGGTCTCACTCTGTTGCCCAGGCTGGAGTGCAGTGATGCAATCATAGCTCACTTTAACCTAGAACTCCTGGGCTCAAACAATCCTTCTGCCTCAACCTCCCAAGTAGCTAGGACTATGGGCACACATCACCACACCTGGCTAATTTTTAATTTTTTTTTTTAAAGAGACAGGGAGTCTTGCTGTATTGCCTGTACTAATCTCTAACTTCTGGCATCAAGTAATCTTCTCGTTTTAGTCTTAGCCTCTTAAAGCACTGGAATTACAGGTGTGAGCCACCACACTGCCCTCTAATGGAGAGTTTTTTGTTTGTTTTTACTTGACTGCAATTAGACTCTTGAGCTCTGACCTCTCCTTCCTAATTTCTCAGAATTTAAGGTGGGTTTGACTGGATATAGAATATGGTGGACTGTAGGTTCTTAACTGGAGAGGGATGACTGAGTCAATCTGCTCCATGCAGGGGCATTCTAGGCCATATTCAAGTAAAAGCCACACCAGTAAAGACTGGAGTGCTAGGAACCTAGTCCATCAGAATAAACAGGATCCTCCAAGGACAACTTATCCAGTCCTTCCACATTATAGCTGGGGGGACTCTGAGGCTAGAGGTGGAGAGGCCATGGCCATATGAGCAGCTGGAGGATGGGTGGGAGTGGGAAGGGCACCCTCTTAGAGGGCTCCTAGGGGAGACTGGCCCTGGGAGCAAAAGGCATTCCTTCCCGCCCCCCCTGGAGGGCTCCATGGGGCTGAGACTCACACGACTGCTGGGTTGGAGCACTTGCCACTGGTATAGAAATACTCCTTGAGGTGAGCACGGGGCAGTGGGCGGGAGATGTACGCAAAGCAGCAGGGTGTGGTGTCCGAGGCATCTGGGAGAAGCAAGAAAGGAAGGAGACCCTTTTATTCATATCTAGTGCACGCAGGGCATTGTGCTGGGTATATGATTTATCTTGAAAGGACTGTTATCCTCTGTGGCAGAAACTCAGGCTACTGAGGCTCAGAGAAGTCAAGTCGCTTGGCCACGGCTACACAGTAGCAGAGTGCAGGTTCCAATAGAAGACCGAGAGGGTCTTCCCAGCCTCTCATCCTTGAGCCAGGCTTGTGTCCTTCTGTATACATCATATCCCATTCCCCTTGGTTCTCAGGACATCCTGGGGCTCCTCCTGGCCTATCCTGGGCCCTCTGCCCTCATTCTTGCTCTTCTGTATTCAGAACTTGGTTTCTTGGACACCTAGGTTTAGGCGAAGTCTTCTAAAACTCAGGCTCCATGGCTCAGCCAGAATTTTAAGAGGGGCCTGGAGATACATATTGCATCCTGGGAGACCCAGGTTGAGCTGAAGTGAGAAAGGCTCTGAACAGAGAACTTCTTGTTGGTTAATTAGTTCAAGATGACACATCAGTTGCCACTTACCAGCAGAGAAATAGTATTTATCTTCCCAGCAAGATAGACCTGAATTTAAATATTGGTTTCCTTACTCCTAGCTGTGTGCCCTTGGGCAAGTTACTTAACCTTCTGGGCCTCTGTTTTCCCATCTGTAAGTCAAGGACAGCTACTTAAAGAGTAGTTGTATTAAATAAAATGATATATGTAAAGCAATCAGCACAATGTCTGATCCATAGTAGGCATTTAATTCGCTTATATTATCCTCTCACAAGCACTATTTTTTTTCATTTATGAAATGAGAATATGACTGTCTCAGGAGGGTTTCAGTTAAGTGTTTAGAAGTTTCTTAGAAACACTGTTGGTGACAAGGCATGCGTCAGTTGTGTTTTAAGGTCAGCTCTAGCTGCCTATGCCCTCATCAGTCCACACTTGGTGAGCACCCGCGGGGCTCAAGACCTTGAAGACACAGAAAAATTGATCAGGGGATCCCTGCCATGAAGCAGTTTAGTGGATCTATCAGAGGCAGCAGGACATCTGGGTAAACCAATACATAAGAATGTAGGCCAGGCGCAATGGCTCAAGTCTATAATCCCAGTACTTTGGGAGGCCAAGGTGAGAGGCTTGCCTGAGCCCATAGGTTTGAGACCAGCCCGGGCAAATTGGCGAGACCTCATCTCTACAATAAATCAAGAAATTAGCCAGGTGTGGTAGTGCTCGCCTGTAGTTCTGGCTACTTGGAAGGCTGAGGCAGAAGAATCTCCTAAGCCCAGTAGGTTGAGGCTGTGAGCGTGCCATTGCACTCCAGCCTGGGCGATGGAGTGAGACTCCAACTCAAAAAAAAAAAAAAAAAAGAATATAAAAGTGGGGTTCAGACAGGAAACATGCTACAGTTGAAAAGTGGGCAAAGTCTGGGCCAACTATTGGAATGGGGTGGACATTCTAGCAAAGGGTCCGACTCCACCACTGTGGTGATCAGGACGTGAACTTACATGGGGAGGCAGATGCAGGAGCGTAGAAGGCAGCAGCAGTGAGGACCACTGTGAGGGCAGCCGCAGAGACCTTCATGGTGCCTTTGGGCAGAGTCTGTGAGAGCCACGTGCTGTCTCAGGATCTTCTGCAGGACTCTGGACTGGCCCTTTATAGGGAACTAAGGCCAGTAGAGAGGCGCCCCCCCAAGAGGAGTTTCCACAATTGCAGCCAAGCACCGGCTGGTAGCAGTGAAATTGCACAAAACGGAAACGAAAACCGAAATAGCCTCCAGAAATATGAATCTCTCTCTCTCCCTCTCCTCCTTACTGCCCTCCCATCTAGAGTGAGCTCATCAGTTTCCCCCCTGCCTAAGCACTGGTGGAAAATCTTTCTGCTGACATCCTTAGCTTTAATTTCTAGGGCAGGAGTCTTCCCCAGAGAGCAGGACCCTGCTTCCTTGAGGGCAAGGAGAGGCGGTTAGGGCAGGATTAGAAGTCACTAGGGTTTTTATTTGGTTGCCTTCCAAGTTTCTGCTCATTCATTACAGATCTTACCTCCCTTCTCTCATCTATGAATGGATGTTATTTGTAACATATTTTATTGAGGCGAGTCCTCTGGATATATAGTCCACAAATGAGGTAAGAACATGCATATCATAATTGTGGCAGTGGAGCTGAGTCCTTGAGGACCTTTTCACCAGATATAAATTGAATGATTCCTCTTGCAGAAGTTTCTTGTTTTATTTATGTGGTTTTTTTTTGTTTTTTTTTGTTTTAGCGACAGTGGCTCATCATGTTGCCCAGGCTGATCTGGAAGCCATAGGCTCAGGCAATCCTCTCACTTCCGTCTTCCAAAGTGCTGGGGTTACAGGCGTGAGCCACCAATCTGAGCCCAAGTTTCTTGTTTTCATCATGCCACTGTTGACTTGCTAAGTAATCTTTGGGAAAATGGCTTATTGTCTTTAAAGTGAGATAACAGGTTACAAGCTTGGGGGGGGAGAATATGAATCTTACAGCATGAGCTACCTTCAATAGCTACCATTTACTGAGGGCTTATCTGTGCCAACCACTGTTCTACTGGCTTAGCATGTGTCACCTTGTTTACTATTATTATCCCCACTGTATGAATGAAGAAACTCAATACATTCTGGCATCCCATCTCATTTTTCAATTCTTCTTGGGCCCAAAATTTACAGAATATGAAAGCTTCAAAGGACTTTATGAATCATTTTTTTCCACATTCTTTAGTCACAGAGAAGGAAACCAGGGCCCAGTGAGTAGGATTTATTTCCTGAGTACACAGCAAATAAATGACAAAGTTGGGATCAGAATCCAGTTTCCCTGGCTCCCACTTCAGTGCTCTGGGCATTAAATACTACTCAACATTAAAGGGTTCAGGGCTGGAGGCATTCTTGAAGCTGAACCTATGTGGAACTCCTGGATTGGAGCTGGGGTCCTTTCTCCATTCCAAAGAATTGGATAGAGTAAATTTTCATCAGTTCCTGTTTGGGTAGTTCAGAATTAACAATTTGACCTGGGTTAGGCTGAAATTGGCTTCTGAATTATCTAAGAGAAAAGTGCTTATTGACAGTGACAAAAGCAAACAAATTTTTAAAAATATAACCCTATACTGAGAACATTTCCTGTTAGCTGCTATCACATATGTAACTTGGTGTCTGAGGGTGACACAATCACCCAGAATGGGAAGACCTTGTCATATTTCTTTCTCATGATGACTTTGAGGCAGAGTGGTTGTTATTCTCATTTTACAAAGGAGGAAATTGAGCCTCAGAAGAGGTAATTAACGTCCTCAAGGCCACATAGCTGATAAGTGGGATTTGAACCCAGGTGTTTCTGATGACTGTGCTCAAGCTCTTTCTGTGACACACTAGTAAGGCAGTTAACAGTTACCGAGGTCTTTTCAGGTGTCGGGTGCTATTTTGTGCTCTTTTTTTTTTTTGGTAAGCATCTTATTCTCTCCTTAAAATTCATTACTCAATTAGCAGTAGAAACATAATTTTAAAAAGCATGGCCATCTCATACAGAAACAAATTGCAAGCACTTTAGAAATATTCATCTATTTAAACAAAAATGATCTACCAATTATTTCCTTCACAAAGCCCCTTGTGGTCTAACTTAAGTTACGAAACATGTGGGGGGCTGTGGCAAAGGAGGTCGTTAAGAGAAGGGACTTTCTCCTGTTCATTAGCCAGGTTTGGACAAGTCACTTCATCTCTCTGGTCTGTTTCCTCAGCTATAAATCCATGAGAATAACAACAGCCCCTCATACAGCTATTGAGACAAATGTTCTCATGCTTGAAAAGCTCTTAATACAATGCGTGGCATATATTGAGTACTTAATAACATTTGCTATAATTATCATGTTATCATTAAGAGTTAGATGACAGTTCCTTTAAGGATAGTCTATATTTTATACTTTTCAGCAATCTAAACTAGATGCCCAGTTAATATATACTAATGAACTTAATAACAACAAAAATATTTATTTACTTATTTCAAAAAGTTGTGTTTTTTAAAAACAGACAAGTCATTTGAGACTTAGGCAAAGTGACTAGCTTAAGGTCACAGCCTACAGTGGTAGAATTCAACATTGAACCCATGTCTGTCTGGGTTCATGGACTTTCTACATTTCATTGTTTCTAGAGAAATCTTGACACTCCTGCCAAGGCTCAGATTTTTACCCTGTGAGCTCTATTTCTGTTTTCTTTCTTGATCTCAGTTTCCCTCTTTAAGGAAGAAAGGAAAGTATTTTCCTGGGTACCAGATATGGTGACTTGGGACAGTAGCTGAGGACTGAGCTGAGGAAATCCACAGACAGGACCAACGTGCTCCTCATCTATAAATCTCAGTGAATCCACCATGTGTGTGTATGTATGTCTGTGTATAAGTGGTGGGGACTGGGACGGGGATGGTGGGAGGGTAGGATGATGGGGTTGTTAAGCGAGAATAGGCAATGGGAATGTCTGGACCATTTTTTTTCCCTTTTGGTGGTTCCAATGGATTGTGGGAAGCAGAGGTGGAAGAATAATTTAATTTTTATTTCATTTCTGCAACTCACTTCCTCCTGTGCAAAATCAGGGTTCAGACTTGATGGGCTATCTTTTAGTTATTCTCTGGCTCTAATGTACTGATTCCATGAGCAAATTAGAGAGCTCGGGTCAACAGTATGATACCTGGTACAGGGTGAGTGTTCAACAGATGGCAAATATCATTATTATTCACCCAGCACTTTATTTTCTGATCACTAGGAACTCCTTCCTGTGTGACCCACTGCATTGGTGGTTGAAAGGATGAAGGGAAGTAATGACTGTGGACGTGCTGAGGAGACTGTTAAAGGTGAAGTACAACATCATGGAGCTGTCTCTGCCCTCCTTGTCCCTCCAGTGTGCATAGTCTACACTGCTCAGTCATTACTTATACACTCTACAGATTTTACTGAGAATTGTTGTGAGCCCTGTGAAAGCATCCTGTTCTAGGCACTGCAGACACAATAGCAAGTAAAGCAGGCAAAGACTTGCCATTGGAGCTTGTTTGGGTGTGGGATTAGGGTGAAGTGGGAGAAGGAGGTAGACAATAAACAAATTCACACTTCTTTATTGTGCCTCATCTTTTCACTGATCTTGTTTTAACTTCAGGAACACAGTGACAATGTCCTATGCTTTTTTCTTTTCTGTTTATTTGTATTCTCCCCCTGGTTTCCAATACACATCTTGGACATGATGCTAAATCGAGGCTGATTTAGTCTAATAACTTCTTGTAACATCTTGATTAAGTGCATGGGCTTTCTAGAGTCATAATTCTAGTTTCAAAATTCAGTTCTATACTTATTTATTTACTTTAATAAAAATCATGTATATTTAAGGTGTATGACATGATGTTTTGATATACATACAAGGGGGCACCCACATAAACCGGAATTTATTTATTTAAAAAATTGCGTATTTATTCTTATGTGTTTAAACTTCGGTCACCTTCAGGGTACTCTCTGATGCAATATACCCGTTGAGACACTTTTTCCACTGCTCAAAACATTTTTGAACTTGTCAATTTTGATGTCTTTTATTACCTATCCCGTTTTTTGTTTCACCTCTTCCACTTTGGCAAAATGTTTCCCTTTGCGGACTTTTTTCATCTGGGGAAACAAAAAATAGTTGCTCAGGGCAAGAGCAGGAAAATAGGAAGAGTGGGGCAAGAGGTCATGCCATTTTTAGTGAAAAACTGCTGAACACTCAGCATGATGTGGACAGGTTGTTCATATAAATCACCCATTATGAATTGGGCAAATGCATTTATTACAAGACTCTCCAAAAAACAATTCACTAAAGCCGAACACAGTCTCATAACAATGCTAGCTGGTACACTGATGTCAGTGGGTTCCTGGAACACTTACTTAGCAAGGAAAGCCTGTACTACAAGGGGCTCGTCCTCCAAAAGATAATTCCATTTTTTTGTTTCTTGGTTTTTTTTGGTACTCCCTGGCATACATAGCGAAATTATTATTACAGTTAAATAAATTAACATATCACACAACTGCTCATGTAATTACGTTTTTTTTTGTATGTGTGGTGAGAACACTGAAAATCTCCTCTTTAGCAAGTTTTTAGTATACAGTACAGTACTATTAACCATATAGTAGTCCCTCCTTATCTGAGGAAGTTTCAGTTACCTGTGGTCAATCATGGTCTGAAAATATTAAGTGGAAAATTTCAGAAATAAACATTCACATAATTTTTATTATAGTATATTGTTATACTTGTTTTATTTTGTTATTATTGTTGTTAATCTCTTACTCTGCCTAATTTATAGTCTAAACTTTATCATAGGTATTTATTGAAAAAACATGGTATATATTACAGTGTTTGGTACCATCAGTGATTTCAGACCTCCACAGTGGGTCTTGGAACATAACCCCCATGGGTAAGAGGGGAATGCTTTAGTTCTTGTGCTGTGCATTAGATCCAACATAACTGCAACGTTGTGCCCTTTGACCAATATCTCTCCTTTCCCCCCACGTCCCCACTGTTGATAACCACAGTTCTATTCTTTGCTTCCACATATGTTACTTTTTTAGATTCCACATGTAAGTGAGATCATGCAGTATTTTTCTTTCTGTGTCTGGCTTGCTATTATTTATTAATGATGACTTTGAGCACGTTGCTTACTTTCTCCAGACCTAAGTTTCCTTATCTGTAAAGTAAGAGATTGGACCCAAACTCTTTAGGTAATGGAGCCATTTATGAATCTGATGAAAACTGTGTACATTCCACCAATATGTAGAGATCTAGACAGACAGACATATGTAATTTTGCTTGTAAGGGGTTTGTAGACCCTGCAGGCCCACTGATGGGCCTCTCAAGTCTGTAGGGCTGGCTCTTACCAGTCCTTGCACCTCTGGCACCCCACTTCCTAGCTAGAGCCAGGCACACATCCTCTCCAGCCTAGCACAGTCTCTCTTTTCCTCTCCCTACCTGGCCCAATCTTGTTTTTTTCTCTTTGGCTCTTTTTCTAAGCTAAGTTGGCTGCCAGCCAAGTCTCATGCTGTGATGTTAGGAAACCAAATGCAGACAGAGAAAGTGAAACCTTACTCCATCTGGATTACAAAACTTTGATTAGACATGGAGATCCCCCCATAACTATGTGGGGAACAGCTCTGGCCATTCTGGCTGCTCTTAAAAGTTGTCTAAAGCAGGGAAATTCCACCCATCCTCTAGGAATCTAACCTCCCAAGAGAAGCCTGAGGCAGTTATTTTCTCCTGACATGGCTTAATTTTCTTCATCTGTAAATTGGAGAGTTGCTTCCTGGTTGCTTCCCATCCAAGACAGTGAGCAGTTGCTTCACTTCTCTTTGTTTCTGTAGGACCCTACTTGGGGTAGGTGCTTCACTGATGCTGTTTGGAGGATCTGCTGCAGGTAGGTAGCTGCAGATCCTCCAGGTAGCTGAGGCCCCCCCAGCAGGTTCAGGGATCCCAGGTGGATCCGAACCCCATCCAGGACTTTTCCACTGCATTCTGCCCTTGTTTTTTGGTCAGTTATGGTTTGTCCTTTGTGTAATTCTATTCTGTTCCTTTCCCCCCTTCTCTTTCCTTCCTTTCTTTGCCTGTCACCTAATACACATTGCAGTATGTCAAGGTACTAACTTTGACAACTGCTTTCACAGTCACAACCATATTTAGGCAAAGGGTTGCAGCTTGGCCTCCCTCACTCTTCTCGCCTTCACCACACAGGACAGTGGCTGTGCACAGCCACTTGTTTACTGCAGCTGGAGACCACATGTGGTGTGTTTGTTATCAGAGCCTGTGCTCACCCATCTCTGGTTACTGGAGGAGCCTACCACAAGGTATCTTGGGGTTGGGTGACTGTAGGAGCAATGCCCACAGAGAAGTGTCAATTCTTCCAAAATTGCTAGGTGACAGATAACTTTGAGCTTTACTCCTGGTATTTCAGAGTCTGCTTTTTTGTTGCTATTTTCCCCTGCATGATTGTTACTGGCTTCGCCTCTCTTTGTGCATACTCCTTCACACAGTTCCCTATCTCCTACTCTTCAGGAACTCTTATTGCTGGAACATTGCCCCCTCCTCCCCACATCCTGTCCCCAGTCCCAGCAGAAAGCCTGGTGAAGCAGGACAAACTTGGGTTGAAATCAGACAGTACATACTTTCTGTGTGTCTTTTTATTTTATTTTTAGAGACAAGGTCTCTATCACCCAGGCCAAAGTATGGTGGCACAACGATAGCTCATTGTAATTCAAACTCCTAGGCTTAAACGATCCTCCCACCTTAGCCTCCTGAGTAGTTGGAACTACAAGCACACACCACAAGGCCCAGCTGATTTAAAAATTTTTTTTGTAGAGATGGAGTCTCATGATATTGTCCAGGCTGTCTCCAAGTCCTGACCTCAAGCCATCTTCCCACCTCAGCTTCCCAAAACACTGGGATTACAAGTGTAATTAATCCACTGTGCCCAGCCCTTTCTGTTGTATGTCTTTGGACAAATTATTAACTATTCTTCATCTTGGTTTCCTTTCTGGAAATGAGGGCTAAGAATACCTAGCTCCTATGATGCTTCAGAGGATTAAATGAGACAGTGAATTTCCTGACATCATTTCTGGCACAAAGTAGATGCTTGGAAAACAGTTCCTTCCTTTCCTTTCCTCAAATGTCCAGGAGGCCAGCATTTCTTCCATCAATGCCTTTTCCTTCCCTGTAGAGGAGTTCGTCGCAACTAAGATTTAGGAGGCATGGGGGTGGGGAAGGGGAAGTTGATGGTGATTTTCCGTTAGCTGTCAGGCACCGTGCTAGACACTGTAGGCATTATGTCACTTATTAGGAAGAAACACATAAAAAAAATGGTGGTGACCTAGACCTGCACCAAGCTCTCCCACTCAGACACTCAGCCCCATGTTGCCCTTCACTGTCTCTCAGAGTCTGGCCAAGAAGTGAGACATGGTCCTTCCTCTTCCCTTCCTGGCTGTCTCTGCAGGTCAGCACACGGACACTTTTTCAAAGAGTTTCAAGGACCATAAAGGAAGTGACAAAAGTTTCAGAACTCACAGGATTCTGTGGTTATGATCTGTCTTCTGTTCCTTTTTTGAACTAGTCCTGGGAAACCCCTTGGCTTCTTACCATTGCTTCTGTTCAGGGATGGAGGTACCTGTCTTTTGCTTTTCCACTATGCTGCTTCCCCTGCAGAGAATTCTAGCTAGAACATTAGGGACCTTAGAACCTTACTAGTCATTTTGGTTTTTGCGAACCTCTAGTTTGCACAAGGAAGTCCCCTTGGGGAATTTCCTCAAATTACTCTTTGGAAATTCTGCACCTTAGTCATTCCTTCTAGTGTCAGTTTTAGGTGGGGAAAAGAGCAAAGGACTGGGAAATAGGAGACCTGAGTTCTAGTCCCAGTTCTAGTTGTTAGATTTTGATAAGCCAATTGCTCTTTGTGGGTCTCAGTCTCCTCATCTGTGAAATGAAGGTCTGACAATATTATTTCGGAGACCCCTTCCTTCTCAGTTAAAAGTAGAGGGTTTCTAGTGTATTAGTATGAGTTTTGGGGGTAGGTGTCCCATTGCCCCCCAAGTCGGTTCACATTACTCCTCTCTGGTAAAGCCTGAGGGATTGTCATTCCTTCTTTCCCTCTCATCCTTCCAAGGCTTGGGACTCACTTTACCACTTACCTCATGGACTTCTTCTACAAGCAGTACTACGCTCCTCCATTTACCCACTGTGCTACCCTTCCATGTCCTTACTTTTTCCTTCACTCCGAGTCCTCCACTTGTCCATTCAGTTGTCTCCTAATTCACCACTATATCTTGTGTCTGTTAAAATTCTTTGTTCCGGCCAGGCACGATGGCGCAAGTTTATAATCCCAGCACTTTGGGAGGCTGAGGCAAGAGGATTGCCTGAGCTCAGGGGTTCCAGACAAGCCTGGGCAACTTGACAAGACCTTGTCTCTACAATAAATCAAAAAATAAACCAGGCGTTGTAGCCACATGCACCTGTAGTTCCAGCTACTTGGAAGGCTGAGGCAGAAGGATCGCCTGAGCCCAGCAGGTTGAGCGTGTGGTGGCCATGAGCATGCCACTGCACTCCAGTCTGG